CTCTTTCGAAGATGAACGCGCAGAGAAGACACTGGGAGCTGATCCACCCGTGAAAGGAATTCTCTGGAAGCCCAGAGGAGAGGATTTGTTGCCTGTAGAAAGTTACAGATGAGAAGGAGGAGGCCACAGGCTCCTGGCAAGCTCTTCCAGAGTCTTTTACAAAGGAGCAGACATCTCTCCATCCTAGTGGCTCCAGTGTTTTAAATTGGAGTGTACTAGATGAGTATTTGTTACTTTATTTTTTAAGGGGGGCGGGTTAAACAACAGATATTTGTTTTCTCACATTTATAGGGCCTAAAATTCCAAGATCAAGAAAAAATCAGGGGTTCCCTTCCCCTCCCCTTCCCTCCCCTCCCCTCCAACACAATCACCAGGCTGATGGCCTGTCTCTCCCTCAAGCCATGGCCCAGGGGTTCCCTCTTATTGTATACCTGTCAGTTCTTATCAAATGCCCACCTCCACAGTACTATCATATTGCTAATCCTCTTACATTCTTTTGAGCTTTTTCTCCCCCATCTTCTAACATAATTACAAATGAATTATGTTTTTGTCTATTCACTTTCCCCTTTTGCCACCATGGCAGCCTGATTTCCTTTGGAGACCTCTGGTTCTTTCACTGATGAATCCCTGGCACTTAGACACATATCTTAGCATGTGTCTACATCCCAGGCAAATATCTGTCCAGCAATTCACAGATATTCAAAAGCAGCTGTTGGTGGTGTGGCTTGAGAGTGACTTTCCCAGACTGAGAGCTGTTTCAACAGACTTGGCAGCATGTGGATGTAGAAATCATGTCTTATTTATTCATCACAGAAATGCTTAGAATACAATAGTACAGTTCTGGGTTCTTTCTCCATATATATCATACCCAGACATAGAAAACTTGAAGAAGTTTTCAAGTCACCAGCAAGTGCGCAAGAGACTTCATTAAAGGGAATTCAGTCCAGCCTCCATTTGTTGAGCATTTAGCATGCCCTTCTCTAAGACGGAGGATACTCTCATTGCCCTAGGGCCTTAGCTCAGGCACTTATTCTATTGGGCACTTTTTTTCTTCGTGGAATGTAGTCTGACCTAGACAGCTAGTTCCTGGAGGAGACACTAGTTCCAGAAGAGCCTGACAGTCAGCCTTGGAAGGATTCTTGTGCTATCACTCTGAGAGAAGACCAGAGTGTGGTCAGCCTCAGGCAGACAGGCCTGGAGAGAGCTCAGCGATGGATCTTGGCACCATGAGTGGGACTTCGTAACGAGCAGAGCCATTCTCAGCACATCTCTTGAGTGTTCAGGAGCTACTATGACCCATGTGTGCAGACCTTATGTGGGGAGAGGGGTTGTCTGCAACATTTCGTTACATTTCTAGGGAAATAGGAGGCAATCAAGGGACCGCACATGGCTTTATTTCCAGCCATTTCATCGAGCTCTATCAGTGGCTTCTTAGGTTATATTAAAATTTGTCACAGCTCTGAAATTTCTCCTTCAATGTTGACCTGTGTCTTGGCTTCACCAAACCGTGAAAATCACTTATTGGGGTTGTACCATACCGTTATATTGGACAATTACATAAGCCCTGACCTTGGACAGACAGCGAGAGAGATTGAGAGAGACAGTTTCCATCTGTCAAAGATCAGAGGTGGAATGGGATCCACAGTCGCTCCTTTAGCATGTTCTAGCATGTTCTATGTGTCTGACATGGTGTGACACACTGGAGATATGCTTGCAAACAAGTTGGATCTTGTCTCTGCCCTCCAAAGGCAGTTGGACACCATGGAAGTGGGTGTGGTGGGGGTCCATGCCCCTCATACTGCTGGGCTGTCCTGTCTGCAGGAAGCACACTGTCCCCTTGCCTTATCTCCTCTGTTGCTGGCTGACACACATCAGAGGGGGCATAGTCGGAGATGAATAATGAAGACTCTTAGGTTCATCCTCCAAGGCTTCAAATACTTGTAGATGGTAGTATCAAAGCAACCCAGGGGCCTGGCACAGGAGGCTAACACTTGTCATCCTAGCTTCTCAGGAAGCTAAGATCTGAGGATCACAGTTTTTAAGCCATCCTGGCCAGGAAAGTCCATGGGAATCTGATCTCCAGTGGACCCCCAGAAAACTGGAAGTGGTGCTGTGGCTGAAAGTGGTGGAGCACTTGCCTTGAGCAAAAAGAGACAGCTCTAGGCTGTGAGTTCAAGCCCCACAACCAAACAACAACAGCAAGAAGAACAAAAACAGCTGAGGATCTTTTGTTTGAGACTTATTTACCAACAACAGGAAGGCAGATAGCCGGGAAGCGCTTCTGTCACGCGTGGACGGGCTCGGAGGAGAGACCATCCGTGCTTCCTTGTGTGCATTCAGTAGATAGCTGATTAATGCTTCCTGGGGGCCAGAGAGGTAACTATTACTAAACAGGACAACGTCCTTTCCCTCACACAACTTTCCCCTTAGAGAACCCCACAAGCAACTCACTATATGTGTCAGACAACATGGGGGAGAGACCAGAGAGGATGTTCAGGAAAATAGACGCTGCTGGGATACACCGCTTAGATAACTGGTTTTACAGCCATGGATGGCTTTGTACACAGAACTGTAGTCCAGCTAGCGTTGCTCACACAGCCCATGTCTGTTAACAGCTGTGTCGAGGGGGCAGAATGAGGGGCAGCGAGCCTGTGCCACCGGGAGAGACCCCATACTTTTGGTGACTTACAACGTGCCTGCCTCCTCTTTGTTCAGTAGCTTCACCATCCCGGCTGTCCCTGGGCTGGGGTTTGCTTTCATCTTCCCTTTCTCCTTCCCTGCCGTCTTATTCCCATTTCCCAACCTGTCTTTAATTAGTGCATTAAAGTAATTATTTACTAAATGGTATTTAGGTAATCTACAGCAACCGGAAAAAAAAAAACAAACAAACAACACTCCCTCTCCTCTACCCAAGGGTGTCATTTGTCTGTTAGAGTTTGTTCCCTAGCACATGTGAAAGATAAGACAGTCAAAGGCCTTGGAGATTCTGGCAGCATCTACTGGCACAAGTGTCAGGGTTTTTTTTTTTCTCTCATTACACTACATATTTGAGAAGCACCATGGATTTTTGATCTGGCAGATTGCAGGAAGCAGTTCCTGATTTTTTTATGATAGCCATTGCTGAACATGAATTTTTCATTCACATGTACTTTTAGTTGAACTCAGGCTTTTAAAAAATATATAGAGAGAGCAAGTGACTTTTCAGGGAAAACCAGTGTTCACTGGAAATGAACAAGTTCTGGTGGAGAGTTAGAAGTTGCTTGTTCAAAATCTGGGCCTTGGGGCTGGGAAGGTGACTTAGTGGTAGAGTGCTTGCCTTGCATGCATGAGGCCCTGGGTTCGATTCCTCAGTACCACATAAGCAGAAAAAAGCCAGAAGTGGCACTGTGGCTCAAGTGGTAGAGCGCTAGCCTTGAACTGAAAAGCTGAGGGACAGCGTCCAGGCCCAGAGTTCAAGCCCCATGACCAAAAAAACAAAACAAAACTGGGCTTTGTCCCTGCCTGGTGCTGTGAGCTGTGGAGACAGTTGCTCTCCTCTCGTGGAAAGCCAGGCGTTCAGCACTGCAAGATGCAAAGCCGAGTTGGGCTTTAACGATGGATCCTGAATTTTCTTTGGACTAGCCAAACAAAACAACCACAAAAACATGTTTTCTGCTTGGGGAAAATCACCTTCCCATCACCTTTGCTCTTCCGTACTCTTGATGAAGGGATTTTCAATGTGACTTGAAAGGCTCGGTGATTTTATTTATGCTTTAATTACTCGCCATGTACCCTTCTGGGTATTTGAGGTTGAAATGGCGCTGTCCATATGGTATTTTTTTTTCTTTAGGCTTTTGGTACTTGTTACTTGGTCAGGTGTGACAGAAGAACCACAGTGCTCATTAGTTTGGTGTCTGTTTCGTGCCGTGTGAGTGTCAGTCGCTGTGTAAGCACTTGGGCTCTCTGTCGTGGCAGAAGCTTGGTGTTTTGCACATGCTCCTACTCCACCTGTGACCAGACTGGCACAGAGGTCCAGGGCCTGTGCCCACGGCAGCCCGCCTCATTGTGGCTGTACTCACTCCCCCTGTGCATTGCTTTGGGCCATGTGTAGTTCTTCCTGTAACCCTGCTTCCTTAATTGACAAGAAACCGGGCTTGTCTTTCAGATATTTGAACTCACGGATGGCTTTCTCTGTGCACTTGAAACATTTCCCTGTGTCAAATCTGATCAAACCTCCCATGTCGAACGAACCCAGAAGTTGCGTTATTGACTTATTTTCCCGTGTTATCTTTAGGATGACCTGTATGCTGCTATTAGAATCTGTTTCTTTGCTTTGCTTTGCTCATGGTCTTTGTGAGACAGACTTTCACTGGATAGGGCAGTCGGGCCTTGGACATGCTATGAAGCACAGGCTGGCTCCAAATTCTCTATCATTTTACCTCAGCTTTCCAAGAGTTGGAATTACAGGCATGTGCTACTACACTCAGATAGGTCCATTCTTGATACTGTTTGCTGTCCTAGAAATGCATCCGATCCTTTCTTGATGATGCTGATGCTGAAGCCGTGTGCTTACGTGAACACCGTGTTTCACGGTTACTCAGGCAAGTTGCTGCTGGGATCTGTAATCACTCTGAGAAAACTTGCAGTTGTTTTGGATAATGTTAGCCTTCCCTTTGCCTCCCAGCTGTCTTCTTGCAAGTTGACAGTAGTTCTTACTCCACGTGGCTCCGTGTTCTTTTCTACCTATGCACATTTGGATGTGCACAGCATTGTAAAACTCCCCAAATCCTGTTTGAAAACAAGGGGAAGAAGGGAGTGGCGGAATCTGTGCACTCTGTGTGTGTGTGTGTGTGCCCGCGTGCGTGCATATATAACAGGAAAACTCCATTGTGTTATTCTAATAGAATCAATTCATGTTGTCTTTAAGCCACATCAAAGAATGCCACAGAGTTGCATTATCCTCGTACGCTTCAGCCGAGTCGGGGGTCCTCACTGTTTCCTTCTCCTCCTCTTCTTTGCAGGATGACGAGGTGGTCCTGCAGTGCACTGCCACCATTCACAAAGAGCAGCAGAAGCTGTGCTTGGCGGCTGAAGGCTTTGGCAACAGACTGTGCTTTTTGGAGTCCACGTCCAATTCCAAGGTGAGCGGAAGCCGGCCAAGGGCATTTGGAGATGCGGCCCTGGTCCTGTTCACCAGCTCTCTCTACGATTTGTAGGGGAACCCTCCATGTGTAGGCTGAAGGGTGGATGAAAAACATTTTCACTCTTCAATGGAGAAATGTTTTGAGGCTTTACTGAATGCAGAGACCCAATTAACATGAGTGGAAGAAGGTCTTGAACCATGATGGTTGTAGCTTAGTGGAAAAGGAAGCGGGTAAGGGGCAGGAAGGGGAGTGGGAAAGGGCTTGTCTTTCACAAAGAGGATTTGGGGAGACCTTTCTGAGCCAGTGATGTCTGGGCAGGCCAGAGCCAAGTGAGAGTGTGAATGGGACCAAGTTCTTGAGCCTTCCACAGAGAGAGAGCCTGGTGATGGCAGATTGCCTGGTGGGTGTGGGCTTTGGAGTGGGGAGGGGCCATGGCTGGCGGAGGGGCCTGGGCCAGGACCGTGTCTCCCGCGCCTTCCAGACCAGGCTAGGAGTCAAGGTTTCTTCTTCACTCACAGGGCCCTGCCCTTTGGCTCTTAGGTGGATTTGGAGGACTAGAGCATGGGAGGAGAATCAAGTGGATGAGTGGGATCTACCCGTTCTGAGAGCCAACGCTTGCTCCAGCTCAGAATGGGACCACTGGGGGCCAGGGCGGCTTTGGACTGGGCTCTGAGGACGGGGTCTGCGCACACATCAGGTTGTGCAGAATGAGGGACAGAATGGAGGAAGGCAACGAGGCCAGCACAGTCCTCTGTGTGGTGCTGTTTGGTTTACGGAGTGCTGGCCTTGTGTAGTCTCATGTAGGGCTCACAAGAAGAGATTGAGTAGTTAGCTGGCGTCATGCTTGTTGTACAGATGAGGAAATGTCAGCATTGTAGAGATAAAGTACGACACTGGAAATACTCATTTGTGACATCAAAAAACCAGCATTGGCAGTGTATTTTCAGGCTTATACTCAGGTTTGTTTACTCATGTATTGATGGATTTATTATCTTTAGTTGTACAAAGGGGTTTCCATTCGTCATGTCTATTTGTGATTACCATGCATGAAATCATATTGAGTAATATATATATGATTTATTATAGTAGTTTATGCAAAGTAGTATTACTAATGTTATAATAGTTGGTCATATCATGTTATGTGTTTTATAGCCCTAATTATGTTTTATTTAGGCAAGCTTTTTAAAAAGATAGAGCCTCTTCCTACAACTTACCATGTTAAGTTCAGCTATGGAAAGATACTCTCATTAAAAAACATAAGTATTTTAAAACCTGGTGTTCTCTCTAGCCACACAGAGTGGATAGAACAAGGTTTGCTTTTCAGCACAGGTGGCGTTTGGCTTTCCCCATTTATTACACCAAGCATGTGCCAACTGTCCTTCTCCTGGTTCTCTGACAAAGAGCTGCCTCCCACTACTCAAAGTCAATAACCCCCGTTCTGTCGTCAGTTTACCATGCGAAAGTCAAGCATTGAAATGGGAATGGACTGAGCTCTTTAGTGCCTTGAAGGGATGCTTGCGCATCAAGTTGTTCCTAATAATCCAGGGAATGGCACATTTTTATCCCGTCTGATGTTCACACTCTCTTGGACCTTTCTGACTTATCTGGAATTATTTATATTCCTGTACAGTTTTAGGATATGGCTTTTCGGGCCCACCGGCCTTGTCCTTCCTGCCCTTCCACACCCCCACACCCCTCCCGTAGGCCCCTACACCAGTTTCTGGATTCTGGAGGACTACACATATCTCATTTGTTTTCATATCTTTTGGTACCAAACACAGTACTTTGAGCTACTAAAATTTTAATGAACTATTAAGTTCGTAAGGAATCTAGGAATCTGAGGATCATTATAATTTTTCTGATATCCACAGACTTTCAGTTTTCTAAAGTAGCAAAGAGGTAAAACTCTAGTTCTCCGGTCATGTTGGTGATAGACATATACAACACACAGATGCGTCTGGGTTTGGCTTTCCTTGGGGGAGTGGGAGATGGCCCTTTTCATCTACAATTGGTGTCACTGAATTTATCATAAAAGTCAGGAGAACAGAACGATTGTTGGCAATAACCAGTCAGATGATGTCAATTATCTATGTGTTCCTGGAAGTCATCCCAGAAATATCTTAAGCTACAGAATCTTTTAACCATAGACAGTACTGACCTGTTTTTGGGTGAAGTTTGTGTTTAATGATTCTAAGGTATTTATTCAGGCTGATCTTTGTCAGCAAGAGAATGGTTCATAATTTCAATATAGATTTTTCCTGCAGACAGTCTTAAACCCAATAACGTGTTTGGATGAGTTATCCCTATTTCAGAATGATGGCTATTTCCTGCTTAGTTCTTAATACAGGTCCCTTTTCATTTCTGTCTGATAATTTAGAGTTGAGGAGTTGGGGTTTGGTGTGTAGAAATTAGTGACTTTGAGGCAGATTTGTATTGTTATTATTAAAAATATAAAGAGAAGCGAGAAGTTATCAGGGAAGTGTAGTTTTGTATTTATTTGTACCTCCCCATGAAAGCAGAGTGAGAAACCCACAGGTCACACAATACCTACAGCAAGATCAGTGGCTGGGTAACCCTTGATCACATGATGTCAGTTAGTATCTAGAAGGAGGTAGAGACAAGGCAATGTAATTTCTGTTTTTTTCCCCCAAACCAATAATGGGATCCCATTGGAAGTGTGGGGAGTCTGTAAGGGAGCAGCAGCTAGGCCTGGGAGGGAAGGCAGCTGCTGTGGTTAGGTAGGATATCTCTGGTGTGACCGTAGCCCTATGTGCTTTTATAAAATACACATTCTTCTCAGTGGCCCAAGGAACTTCCTAAATTTTCAGAAGCAAATGAGAATGAAAACAGCACACTGTAACCTATGAGTTACAGTGAAGGCGGATCTAAGAGGGAAGTTTATAGCTGTGAGTGCCTACGTGAAAGAAATTAGAGAGATCTTATGTAAATGGTTTAGTGATGTACTTCAAGCTCTTAGAAAAACAAAAACAGGCCAATCACAAAATTGTAGAAGGAAAGAAATAATAGAAATCAGAGGCGAATTAATGTAATGGAAACTAAAAGAACAATATAGTCTCCTAGCCAAATGAATCAAAAGAAAGAAGAATCAAATTAACAAAATTAGAGATAGAAAAGGTAACATTAAAACAAGATACCACAGCCGGGTGCCTGTGGGTTATGCCTTTAATTCTCAGATCTGAGGATCACAGTTCAAAGCTAGCCCAGCAGAAATAGTCTTCATGAAACTTTTATCTCCACTTAACCACTCAAAAACTGGAAGGAGAAGTGTGGCTCAAAGTGGTAGAGTGCTAGCCTTGAGTAAAAAGCTCAGGGACAGGATGCTCAGGTCTTGACTTCAAGCTCCATGACCAACCAACAAACAAAAAACAGAGCCATTGAAATCAGATACAGGAAGCCCTGAATTTCATTTGGAAATACAAAAGACCTTGAATAGCCAAAATAATCCTGAGCAAAAAAAAAAGGAGGTATCAAAATACCTGACTTCAGACTATACTACAAAGCCATAACAACAAAACAAGCATTGTATAGACAGGCCCCAAAACAAACATGTAGATCCATTACAAAGACTAGGAAGCCCAGAGCCCAGCTCAGGCTGGTTCGACCATCAGATTCTCAACAAAGGTACCAAGAACATGAATGGAAGACAGGGCTCTCTAACACATGGTGCTGGGAAGACTGGCTAGTCATGTGTAGAAGAATGAAACCAGAGCCCTCGTCCCTTACCCTGTACAAAAGTCTACTTGAAAGGGATCAAAGACCTTAATGTAAGACCTGAGACTTTGAAACTACTGAAGGAAGGCAAGGGGAAGTGTGTGAAGATGTAGAACAGACAAGGTCCTTCCAAAAAGGACTCAAGTAGCTCAGGAAATAAGAACAAGAACTGACACATGAGGTTCCATCTGGTTAAACAGCATCTGCACGTAAAGGGAACAATGACCAGAATGAAGAGACAGCCTACAGGTGGGGTGGGAAAAAAATAATCCTTGCCAGATAGACATCAGCTGGGGAATGAATAGCCAGACTGGGTAAGGATGGAAAACATGAAACCCCAAATCAAAGCAATCCAATCACTGTATGAATGAAACCGCCAGTTTTTCAAAGCACAAATGGCCAATAAATACATGGAAAAAAAATTTAACATCCTTAACCATTAGGAAAACACGAGTTCAAACAACACTGAGATTCTGCCTCTCCCCTCAGGATGGTTGTCATCAAGAGAAGCCACAGGTGCTGGTAGGACTCCTGAGGACAGAAGTGTGGGTTTGCTGTGGTGGCGGTGGAAGTTGCTTGGCTCCTGTGGACATCAGTAGGAGGTTCCTCACAGAGCTAAAACTAGAGCTGCGGTGTAGTCCCGCTGCAGGAGTTGTGGAGACGTGCCCAAAGGAAGCAGAGGCCGTGTTGACAGAGATCGCCACTTCCCGTGTATATTCTGCACTGATCGCTATTGCCAAGTGACAGAATCGGCTTAGGTGCCCATCAGTGGGTTCATGGATAAAGAAGAAAATGGCTGAATAAAGTTTTATTTTGTGTGTGTATACAGAAGCACACACACTATTTATGCAGCCAGTAAGGAGAACAAAATGAATGGATAGCCTCTAGTTAAGCGAAATAAGCCAGTCCACAAAAGACAGATACTCCATGTTGTCTCTCATTGAATCTGAAAAATACAAAACCAAACCCAATCAGCAAACAAAACCCCTAACAAACCAAAGGTTCTGAAAAGTATAATGGGTTTTACCAGGGATGTGAAAGAGGGAAGGCAAAGGCTGAATAGAGAGGAAGTTAAAACTATGCTTCTCAAACATTAGGAGACTCTGATTTCTAGCTAACCACCGAAAGCCTCGGTGGAGTTCTTGCTCAAGTGGTCGAACGCCAGTCTTGAGTGGAAAAAGGTGAGATAGCTTCCAGGCCTTGAGTTTAAGACCCCCCCCCCCCAAAAAAAAAAGGAAAGAGAGAAGAAGAGACCAGTACTAAGA